ACAATGTAAGTGGGGTCAAATATGGAGGGACAGAAGGAAATGGAGGAGAGAAAAATATAAGAAATTGTTAGATGTGTTATAGATGGATATAGAGACATAAATCTACAAACAGAGATAACATTATCAATGACTGCCTACATCTACCAGGTCCACTGTCTACCTGTCCACTGAAGGTTGTCTGTCTGAGCATAATATGTTATCTTCAGCTGGTTTCTGCTGAGCTGAATCACACCCCCCCACTCCCCATCCCGATTTCTTATATCACTCTGGGATTCCTGCGTGTAAGATTACACGGTCAGTCTTGCTCGGTTTTGGCCACTCCCACAGACCGCTAAACTTTGAAGGGACATTTCAATTATAAAATGTGGTTTGGCGGAGGAATGGTCTACATCCATTTTGTCTGGTATTTACTGCATTTTGTTTTCATAGTGTGCCATCGCCTATTCTCTCGTTGAGTGATTTGGATGGCCAAGCTTGAATTTCATTGTTATTTTTGGTATTTTAGATGACCAAAAGACGTCTGGGAGAAAGGGGACAAAGGCTGCTTAACGACTGTTTCTTCTATTTGCAGGGGCACCCTTAGCTTGACTGCCAGTGCCACCAGTTCCCATCCTTCTAATCTCAGGTAGAATTTTTAAAGGATTTTTGCTCAGGTTCTTCTGGCCCCACCCTGCAGTCAGACTGGGTTACCTGGAGTTTCCAAACCATTCTACACAATTAATCATCATTGTCTGCTCTATAATACACATCTTTTGGACCCTGGTTTGGATTTCTTTTCACTTCGGCTTCGGAAAAACTGAATTTTGGGGATACAATAAAAAAACTTTAAAAAAACTTTGGCCAAACCACAACTGAGAAAACGTTTTAGGAGTTCACCTATCACTACGATGTACATGTCTTGTGCCCCTCTCCCCCAATCAACCTAATGTGTGTCCATCTGTCCACTATATATAAAAACAATGTTCCTTCTGTATATGTGTCAGTCTTTCTGGTATCAGTATCTTGTGCCCGTCATGATGTCACTCACCCTTCGTGCTTTGCTCTGATATTTCACAGCTTTCTTGGTATCAGACACCGCCCGTTCCACATAGTCCACGGAGTGTTCCACGTTATACTCAATACGGTCTATCATCTCCCCCTACAAGGGAGGAAAGGAGAGAGGTTAGATAGGGTCCACCAGGCTGATTCAGTTGACCAGTGTCATCTCTTTGACTCCTCACCTGACTTTCCACAAGCATGGCCATGTCTACAAACATGTCATGCAGCTCTCGGATGCTGTTTTCCAGCTTTATGATCTCAGTGTGCCGTGTCTCAATCTCGTTAAGAGCTTGTTTGGTCATCTGGGAGTCCATCTTGATCTACAGTTGGTGGAGAGAAGATCAGTCAGTTGCCAGACATTAGACAAGACATCAGACGGAGATGCACATGTGCTGTTTCTAGATGTCTCTTCTACGTTCCAGTTACTGAATGACATAGGGATGGCTACAGAATAAATACATCTCTCATGGAGAACTAGTGCCACTGAAGGATCTTCTCCTGCTTATGATGATACTTAAGATAGACATACTCTTTCAAGTTTGGCATGGACCTTAACCAATGATATTAATACAACCTTGTCAGATTTAGAACTCTTTTTCTGAAGTGCTATATAGAAGAACCAATACTCTGTCCTCATTAGCCTCACTGATAAGACATATACGCAGTACTATCTGACCATTGATTCAGAGATCACTGAGCACTGCATACCAGGTATCAGAAGACATTCTGATTTAACCTGGACTGATGATGAAACTGCTACTTTGGTAACAAACTTTCCATCATGGAGATGGATAAGGATCACCAGCACTCAGCAATAACATTTAAATAGGTCCATTTTATTTGGACAAAGTCACAGTGAAAACAGCCAACGTTTCGGGGCCACATAGGGTTCACTTCTTCAGGGCAAAAGGACGTCACATCCTTTTGCCCTGAAGAAGGGACCCTACGTGGCCGTTTTCACTGTGACTTTGTCCAAATAAAATGGACCTATTTAAATGTTATTGCTGAGTGCTGGTGATCCTTATCCATCTTCCTGTGTCTGCACGGCGCCATCCGTGGTCATCACTGCGAGCACCACTTTCTTATGGGCCGGGAGCGTTGTGAGGAGTGCGGAGGGACTCTTTGTTTATTTAAACTTTCCAACATGACGATCATGTTCTGCCGTAATTAACATCATCTTCTGTAATCAACCACCATCGCCATTCTGGGCTAATTAAACTTCAATTATCCATTTGCTCGTGTTTGTATGAAAGTACTCATTAACAGTAAGTCAAACGACTTATTTAATTATACAATTTCCTCAGATAACCTGATGACGTTGGTGGTGTTGCCCAAAAGGATTACCAATATATTGCATTTTTAAGGATCTGTTCATATTTAGGTTCATCAAGCTGAGAACAGAGCTTTGTGTGATCAACAGAAGAATACACAATGCCCTAGTAACTTCCCTTGTGTTTTCACTGGATCTGTCAAAGACATTGGTAGAGGAAGATTTGCTGTACAGTGAGTGTCAGGAACCGGATCTGAACCCAGGGCCTCTGCTGTAGCTGGCGGTGGTTCTACCTGCTGAGCCACTTAAGAACCTTGTATGGCTCCTTGCCTGATCTCCTGTGTATCCTCAGTTATACCTAATCAGATGCTGAACTCTTAACTCCTAGCTCCTCGCTTGAACTTCCTATTTAAGCCACGCCTCTGCACTTCCTCTTTGCCAGATTATTGTGCACCTGCCGTGATCTTTCTTCCTGCTCCCTCTGCGCTACTATCTGCTCATACTGCTCCCCGTGTACCGACCCTTGGCTGCTGATTCACCGACTACTCTCTCCGTCTCCTGCTACATACCAGATACCTTTGGCTCCTGACCTCGGCTTGTTCACTGACTACGCTTCTGCCTGCTCCTCCACCACCACCCTCTACTTGTGTACCAGATAGGGTTGCCACCATTTCTTCAAGCGAAACCCGAACATTCTAGCGGCGCGCTGACATTTTTTCGGGAGAATGAGTCATGGCTTTTTCATATGTAAATATCACAGCTGAGACTATTTTCAGTGGGGGGCCAGTAGCCTCTATCTTAATTTTGGTTGCCCCTGCCTGCCTGACATGTTGTGTCCGGGTTTCTGCTGGCATGAAACCCGAACACAGCATTCAAAACCCGGACTGTCTGGGTGAATCCTGGACAGGTGGAAACTTTAGTACCAGACCCAGCCTGTTATACTACGAAGTGCCTGCTGCTTCAGCTGCTGGACTCTGAGCCTGATCCTAGATCGTGACAGTGAGGCAACTTGTTGAGTACCTTCAAACCAGTTACCTCCCTAAGATACCAGCCCAGCCCCTAGGCTCCTATATTAGAGCTGAAACTCGTTTTTTATAAAGGGATGATCTATTCATTAGGAAGCAGTAGGTTTAAAGAGCTGCCAGACTGCTGTCTATTGGGCTTTAGCCCTGTTCTCAAAAGTGTCTGAATGGTTCCAACCTCCCATTACAACTAGTCAGATGCTCCCTGTCACTCTACCATACTTGAAACAAAATGGAGGGCCTGCCTGGCTGCTTTGGTCTACTAGAACAATCCTTCCTGCAAAAATTTTGATAAATGAAGCTTTGTGTGTTTCTGGTTCTTTGAACTGTATTTGCATTCTCTATACTTAGTACTCTTCATGGACAGCTGGCTATGGATTTTGCAATGAACACAACCTCCCCACATCCCCCCTCAGCAGCCCCATTACACACGTCGTCTGTGAATATGGCCAGCTTCCCACTCTCCAACATATCTTCCAGCTCTTCATTGGTCGTAGTTCTGCCGGCTGTCAAGAGAAGCAGGTGTCACAAGAATTCTGAACATTCAGAGGCAAAATCTGATTTCCTACAATATACAGAATAAGTCTAAATATCGGCCCATAGCCTATTAAATGTCACTGAGATTTCCACAGGGAGGAACTCAGCCCTCTTGGTACCATATCACCGCTGCTGAGTAGGGATATACCAGTCAGTAATGTCTAAGCTTGTTTGTCCACACTGTCCTATAAAGCATCCATCAGGGAGCTGGTGCACCAAATGACAACACAGCAGTGTTAACCTGAGCAACGGAGGTCACAGATATTACTGGGAAAAAATTCAGGATCTAAGAAGCATATGACCCCACCAGGGTACCAGAGGCCTTCAGCATGGTCAATCCCTTAGAATTCACCTAGAAACTGAATAACTTTTTTGTGGAGGGAGTTATCTTCTAGCAAGAATCTGCCACAACTGCTCATACCTGCCTCGGGAACATAGTCCTAGCATGGTCATGGACATGCTTTGACTCTGGTCATGGAGCAGTTCCACATCATTGAAGCTAAATATAGCCAACTTCACTCATTTTAAGCTCCTTTGCAATCCACCAAACTCTCTTCTCCCCTAATCACCCCATGAGTTTACTACAACACATTACCATTGTTAAGACCACCCAAAAATAAAAACTGTTCTGTCAAACTTGCAGCCTTGGAAGCTATATGAGCTATATGGAAAATGGCCCTCTACTTCCTATGGGGCCTTAAACACCCTACACCCCATCATCAATAATCATACATACTGATTTCCAGCTGTCTCTGGATGCGGTCCTTGCAGCGGTCCCTGTATTTTGACTGCGTTGCATTGTACTCTGTCATCACCTCCACAAACTTGCGGGACAGCGTAGAGTGCTGATGAGAACACGGAGAAAAGGAACATAGGACATGCTGAGTCAAAGGCAAGAGAGACCACCACTGAAAACATGGTATGTTAAAGGCTTTTCATTGGTTACCTGTGTTTTCCGGATACGCAGGTCGGCCGAGGAGCGATTAAGACCCTCTTCCTGCTCAATGCTTTGCTCAATTGCTAAGAACGAAAAGAACCAATGCTTGTTAAAGGGCTTAAAATCACCTTATATCCAGGATCTGATGGGTCCTCCTGGAGACCTCCCTACAGTCATTGATCCTAACATGAAAGATGTCTAAATCTAGGAAAGGCAGCAGGAGAGTTGTCACCATAGTCAGTACATTACCGGGGACCAGAGCTGTGGACAGAAGTTGTCAGGGAGGAGGGGGCATTATTGTAGGCATGAGCTTTTGGACCATGTAAGGGAAGAGGGGGCATTATTGTAGGCACGAGCTTCTGGACCATGTAAGGGAAGATGGGGCATTATTGTAGGCTTGAGTTTGGGGACCATATCAGGGAAGAGGGGGCATTATTGTAGGGATGAGCTTCGGGACCATGTCAGGGAAGAGGGGGCATTATTGTAGGCTTGAGCTTGGGGACCATGTCAGGGAATAGGGGGCATTAGTGTAGGCATGAGCTTGGGGACCATGTCAGGGAAGAGGGGGCATTATTGTAGGCTTGAGCTTGGGGACCATGTCAGGGAAGAGGGGGCATTAGTGTAGGCATGAGCTCCAGGACCAAATCAGGGAAGAGGGGGCATTATTGTAGGCATGAGCTTCGGGACCATGTCAGGGAAGAGGGGGCATTATTGTAGGCTTGAGTTTGGGGACCATATCAGGGAATAGGGGGATTATTGTAGGCTTGAGCTTAGGGACCATATCAGGGAAGAGGGGGCATTAATGTAGGCATAAGCTTGGGGACCATGTCAGGGAAGAGGGGGGCATTAGTGTAGGCATAAGCTTGGGGACCATGTCAGGGAAGAGGGGGCATTAGTGTAGGCATGAGCTCCAGGACCAAGTCAGGGAAGAGGGGGCATTATTGTAGGCATGAGCTTCAGGAACAGGTAGATCATGAGTGCAAGCTAAATCCAAGCTGTTCACAGTTCAATAGATAGCTACACTTGATTTGCCCATTTCACCCACCTGCCAATTCTCCATCTGTGACCTAGCAACCAATGGCCATGTTCACCCTACATAACGTCATCGGCTGACTGTTGACAGAGCTGCGCTGGTGGCCCCACAGCATCATTGGTTGTTATGGTGCACCTGCCTGCATTCTAGCAAGTTAGCAACCAATGACGTTGTATGGCCCAGCCGCTAGCGTCCTAACACACAATTATGCTGTGCGGGTCATGTGCAGTAAGAAGCATTTACTTAGCTTTCTTAGCCCCATAATTCATAATTACACCCCTGTTGTGAAGTATATGAAAATGATGCAAAATGCTAAAATCTAAAAATCTAATTTCTTAAATTACATATTCGTAAAAAGTAACAATTTTTTCCCCAAATGTGTGACAAGTGCTCTTTGAACAAGCCGAAAAAAAAGGACAGAAAATTGATTTCAGAGCAGGGAGCAGTACTGGGATTGGCCAGAGGGTGGTGCCCTTGTCCTGTATCACATTGCAGTCATCTGGCAGCCGCTGCAGACTCAGCGCCTATTATGCAGAATGACGGGGCGACGGGCACAGATACTCTTGCACAGTGTAGTCCTGTCCGGCGGGGTAGGAGACCTGACTTTTTAACACTTACAGGTCTTATCTTTCTCCCAGCCTGTGACTGGACAGTTAAAGGAGAAGCAGGAGGCTGATGAGATCATCTCTCCGTCACTCTGCTCCGGCATGCTTCTGGTTAGTGCATGAGCACTGCAGCACAATTGGCTGGCTCCTTGTGCTATTCCCACCACTCCCCCAAGAACAAGCTCTGCTGTATAAGAGACTGCAAGAGTCAGATTCAGGTACTTACGCTGCTTGTATGGTGCGTAATTGGATACAGAGCTGTGTCTTTTTGACGTGCCGAAAGTTCAGCTTTAAAGGAGAACTATGAGGTGGGTGCTTTTCACTCAGCCTCATAGTTCTAGCCGACCTAGTTGGCCGTTTTCTTGATGTCGGCCGTGAGATCCTCCAGCTCCTGTTTAGTTTCTGCACGGAAAGAACAGAAAAGAAAACAATTAGGATCATTATATGAAAGGGGCACCGTGGCTCGTTTCTCATCCGGGGTGATGCCACACACACTCTTTGTACAAGATTTATCAGCAACCATGTAGTCTGAGGGACTGCACAGTATAGGATGTCGGGTAGTCCCTTCTGGCTACATATTGATTGGTGAATCTACAGGCGATGGAACAATCAAAGGGGTCGATTTAGAAACACTTTACACAGCCAAAGCTCTTAGCAACCTGGGATGCTCTGGCTGTAAAGGGGGCGGCAGGGGTGCCGAGTGATCCAAAGAGATGCCGCCTGATGCTGCCTGCCTCATTATAGGGATATAGGGCCTTCTCAACTACTAAGAGTTTACGTCTACTTTAGCTTTTTCTGCTCCACAAATCCTCCTCAGCCAAGAAGCCATCTTGAAATAGTCAGCATGCAACATATCCAACCTGTCTCCCTCCACCTCTTCTGCTCTACCCGTTGGCCATTCAGCCGCCTACTTCCGTTGGCACTTACTCTCATCAGGATTAGGTGCAGCCAAGATGGCGCTGTGCTGTTTCTTCACCTGCTCCACATCGTCTGACAGCTTTTCTATACAGCCCCGAATCTCCTCCACCTGTAGACAGAGAAGAACAGTCTTTTTACCTCTCTTGCAGTAGAGGAAGTTTTACGGACCGCTGGCTGAGGGACGTTAATATTAATGGAAAGGTGTTGTGGGAATTAAACCTCTTTATTTACACTCCTTAGCTGTAATTAGTTTAATTTGTCATGAGCGCGGCGCTGACAGGTGACTTCCTCGATACCTCGAGCACAGAAATTTTTATAGATGTGCCAGCCAGGCAGTGACTTCCTCCAACGGAAAGGAAACATTGCCGAGGCCGGAGATGGAGGAGTCATGATTGATGTCGGAATTAGAGGACAATAAACTACGGGGGGAAGTAATAAGGTGGATGCGGAGAGGGGGAGGAAGGCATGGCCTACAGCAGGGAAAGCACACTGTCATAGTAAGACAGAAACAAACCCGATCTATAGGGAGCAAAGAGAGCACGAGTGTAGAGTATGGAAGGGCATGTCTTGGAAGGTTCTCATTTAAGGTGGGTAGTCACATTCAACTGGACTTGTCCTGCAATGTTGAAGATGTTTTGTAGTGTGCTCAGGCCACATTTTCAGATCTAATGAGATACTATAAAAATAAATAAATAACCCAACATAGGAGGGCAAATTCTACAGATAAAAATCAAGACAGCTTTCCTAC